TTAGAAGACACCTGCTTCTTGGGAGGAAAGCGATGACAAACCTAGACAGCATCTTAAAAAAGCAGAGACATCACCTTGCTGACAAAGGTCTGCATAGTCAAAGCTATGGTTTTTCCAGTAGCAATGTATGGAAGTGAGAGCTGGACCATAAAGAAGGCTGACCACCGAAGAATTGATGCTTTTGAATTGTGGTGCTTGAGAGTCCCCTGGACTGCAAGGAGAACAAACCTATCCATTCTAAAAGAAATAAATCAACCCTGAGTGCTCACTGGAAGGACAGATCCTAAAGCTGAGGCTCCAATACTTTGGCCATCTCATGAGAAGACTCCCTGGAAAACACTCTGATGTTGGGAAAGTGTGAAGGCAAGAGGAGAAGGGGATGACAGAGGACGAAGGGGATGACAGTTGGACAGTGTCACCGAAGCTACCAACAGGAATTTGACCCAACTCCGGGAGGCAGTGGTAGACAGGAGGGCCTGCCGTGCTCTGGTCCATGGGGGTCACGAAGAGTCAAACACGACTTAACAACTAAACAACAACAAAATATCTTCGCAACAACCCTTTACAATGCCACTAGGCAGCAGTTTGATAAATGTTAAGATTGCTGCCATCTGGGCGTTTGTAAGCCACTCTGGTTTCTGCAGGGAGTTTTGATGAAGAGAATGAAGATAAATTGTACCAAGATGATCCACCAAGTTTCCAGGGGTGGCAGCAGCTATAGACAGCTCAGTTGAGATGACAGAATTGTAGTAATAAATAATTGCTTCCTTGTCTAACAACATGTCCTCAGAGTCACTGGTCTTTGACTGGCCTTTTTGATGGTGAATCTTTGAGACAGAATATGAATTTTACCAATGTCTTGTCAAATCTCATGATATGACCCAGAAGGAGATAGGCTGTACTGTACTGATGGGATATATTTCTTAATATAAACTTCCCTGTGATACTGATAGGGACTGGCACTGCTCCAGTAGCAGACCTAACTCTGCAGATGCAATGTGTGGGCCCTGTGGAAAGCCACTTGTGTGATCTAAAGAACTACAAAGATTGGTGCAGTATGGGATTTCTGAGGGCCTGTGCTCGAAGAGACCGCTGTTGGTTCCAGTGCCTGGGAATTCCTGAACTGTGGAGTGATCTACCTAATACTAACAGAACAACCATTTACCTATAGTTAAACATAACTAGTTAAACATAACTCATTCAAAAGTGTGAGAAAAGATGAATCACTTTACCTTTTGTAGATGTCTAAAACAGTAATAAGAGCCATTCTATGTTCTGGTGACTTGGTTAACATTTCGCTCTTGTAGGCTGTGCGTCACAATTGTGATTATGAGCAACTGCATCTTGTACACATAGGAAGCTGCCTTATACTGAGTCAGCCCAGTACATTGTCAATTCTGACTGTATGTGGTGTAGCAAGGATTCTCTCTCAGTGCTGCCTGGAGATCCTCAGTGGTCCTCCATCCTAGATCTAAGGCTGTTTGGCTTCCATAATCAAATGAGACTGAGTGTGTAAAAGCAGTAAACCTCCCCTTGATTTTGACTCTGTGATGGGACTTAAAGAAGCATTTAGCTTTGCCATCACTAGGCCTACATACAGTACCGTTGGATTTCTTAATCAGATGAACTGACAAATGGTGGAACAAATATCTTTCAGACAAACCTCCCTATCTTCAAACTGAAGGAGTCTTGTGTCCGGAGAAGATACAGTGACTTTGAATGGCTTAGAAGTGAACTAGAAAGAGAGAGCAAGGTAAGGCCAAAAATGTTTTCTGGAATGTAGAAACACTTGCTTGGTGGCCAGAAGTATTGCCAACTTGATCATGGGATTTATTATGAGGAGGCCACACACACTAGAAGTCATTCTGCATTCCCACAGCTGTGTTTAAGCCTGTGGTTTCAGTGTGAGAGGAAGGTCCACTTTAAATCAGCAAGGCATGTGCAGTGCCATCTTCCTTAGGAAGCATTTGGTCCCATTGAAGACCATGTACTTGGATCTGTTTGATTCTTAGAAAATATTAGATACCCTCAATGTACTGTATGTAAGAAGTGCTTTTAATTTTGGCATATTGGAATTGGGACCTAAAATGTTAACTGCCTTTCAGGTAGTAGTACCACCCTTACCTGGAAAAGCTTTTCTTCGCCAGTTGCCTTTTAGAGGAGATGATGGGATATTTGATGATGCCTTCATTGAAGAGAGGAAGCAAGGGCTTGAACAATTCATAAACAAGTAAGTAAAATGCTCTGTTTCTTATTTTGAGCAAAAATGTGTGAAGGCACAAGACTGTTTTTGACACCGGTGCTAATATATAACTTGATATATATTATACATGCTGGTACCTAACATTGTACTGCAAGTCTTTACAGGGTCAGTAGAAGTTATGCTAATACAAAGCTGAGCTCAGTTTACATAATGAAGATTGCTGAACTGCTTTCCCGGTTGAACTGCCTGATTACTATTAATATCCAAGCCAAACTGCATATGAACTTCTAACATTTGCTGCAGTGATTGAAATATTTGTAGTGACCTGGGTTTTGTTTCTTAATTTATGCAAATTGCTGAAATTACAGTATGTAATGATAGAACTGTGGAAATAAACCTGGTGTATTCATCATCACATGATCGTTTCGCTTGCATGTCTAGCTATAGGCATGAGTTTTCAGGCTGTGTAATGTATTTGCTTGTTTAATTATGGTAGCAAAGTGGGTTAAGGGAATGTCATGTATATCATTAGAATCTGAAGTGCAGCCGTGGCTGTAGTGGCTGCCGCTGTGAAGCTTGTTTATTAGCACATGTTGGCTGTCATGCCCAGGATATGTGGCTTGAGTCAAAATGTGGCTGATGAGAGATGGTAGATCTGCTTCCTTGGCAGTTCCCTTTAGGCAGGGGATGGGGAACATTCAGCTCCCCCAGTGTTTTGGACAATAGCTGTCTTACTCCCTTTCAATTAGTTACACTCACTAGGGTCTTGAGAGAGTTGCTGTCCAAAGGATTTGGAGACTTTCCCACCTAGAAATGGGGGGCAGGGCAGTACAGTGGTTAGCAGTGCTCTATGTCTAGTGCTTCCTTGCTTTGTTGGAATTTATTTTTAAAAAAGTGGGGGCACCTAGATATGAAGAGGAGCTATGTTATGCTGCTGAAGGAAGGCTATTTCTGCTACTGCCCAGTTCTCTCTTGATTTGTGAGAGAGAGGATGACCATCTTCACCTTCATAGTGTCTCGTCCTGTTTGGCTTCACGGAACAAGGCCAGTGATGCCAGGTCCAAATATCGTTTTGCATGCCCTCCTTGAGTTTATGTGAAGAGGTCTTCTTTGCATACTGTGGTCAACTACAAGATGGGTTTGTTGTATTCAGGCAAAATAAGTGAATTTAGACTGCATAGGGTAATCAGTTTTTAAAATGCACAGCACAAAAGTTAATTGGAGGCTGCTTGTTGCTGGCACTGTAGTATTTCCTCCTTGCAAAAGCTCTTGTTATATTAGAATGCTGTCTTACACTTAAATCTAACTCCTCGTCCAAGTGAGAGCAGGACCATTAACTCAACTGCTGAGTGGTAGTAGTGATAATGAAAAAGTATACAAATCCCCCAGGTATTCATAGTTTAATTCCATAGTTTAATTCATTTATTTATTTAACACCTGAGTTTTTTGACACTTTCTTAAACTAGGTAGGAGGGTGGCTACTGATGTAATAGGTTTGCTACTGAGATTATGGTATATACAAAAACCCCACCTTTCTTGTGCAGGAGAGTACTTAGATCATTCATCCTGTAGTAAAATGGCATTGCTCATTAAGGCAGTGTATGATGTATGAACCATGATGATTGAAGTTATTATACTCTGCATTGTATTGCTTATGTTGCTAAGCATGGACGCTATTACCTGGTAACAAGTTACCACTTCAGAAAGCAAGGGGAGTAGTTCATTATGGAAATCAGTTGGTTAAACTGTTTGACATTATTTACAATACCACTAAGAAAATGATAATGTCCTCCCAATATGGAGAGAAAGAAGAATCCAAAACTCAAGGGTGTGGGTTTCTTCTAAATTATGAGGTGTTACGTAACAAGTTGCTAACCAGTCTTTCACAGGAACTTAGGTCACAGTGGAAATTTGAAGCAGAAGACTAACATATCTAATTTTCATTTTCTAGAGTTGCAGGCCACCCTCTGGCACAGAATGAACGCTGTCTGCATATGTTCTTGCAAGATGAAGTAATAGACAAAAGCTACACGCCTTCCAAAATAAGACACGCTTGAATGCTACACAACACTTTAACTGGTATAAATGTTAGTGATTAACTTACTTGGTCTAAGATTTGTAGTTGAGGTTTTAGCATGCTGCAGAAAAACTGGCAGAAGAAGCCTTCAGTATACTAATGGCACTGCTTGGTCCTTGCATTCATTTTATGGCATTAAAGAACTCTGCTGTCCGACTTTTGATTAAATGGCTTTTTAAGACTAAATATTCTGAAACTGTTTTTTCTTCCTTTGCAATGACCTTGTGGTGGTTACTGACTTGGCCTTACTTGAATTTGCACTGTTCTGGTGTTGCACGTTCACTTGTATTTGATCAGACACTAGAATGTTTCTGTAAAATAACTAGTATTCAACCTGCAATTTAGTGACTAACACGGCGCATTGTTCTCCACATCCCTTGTATATAATAAGCACTTCTGGAGTTGTATCCTTATGCCTGGGGAAAAAAACATACCAACCTTTGTACTAAGAAGCCATGGGGGAACTATCTTTATATTATGTAAAAAGAAATCAGATTTGTATACTAAGATCATTTGTCTAAAGTTGTTTTGAAATAAAAAATAAAAATGAGATTAAGCATGTATTTACTGCTGGGGGAGGGAAGAATTGGGTTGGGTCACTCCTAGAATGGGGGTAGACAAACGAGTGCCTCCAAATGTTTTTGATCTATAGAAGGGCTAAGGAGAGGAAGTGAGCAGCATGTGCCCTGTGGATTGCATGCATCTCTCCCATTTTAAAGCCCCCTTCCCAACCTTGTCTTATTGCTCTTCTCTCTCAACCTATCTTTAAAAAAACCATTTGGGAATATGTGCCTTGTTTTCAAGTTAAATCAGGTTTCCAGAAACACAAATTGACTAAAAAATAGGATGTGTATTCCCAGGACACCTGGTTCTGAAGGGAAATTGGAGGGGTGAGATGGGGCAAATGTGATAGGGTAAAGTGTAGTGATGCTTGATTCAGGAGATGGACAATGCATATACACCCCCACCTGGAAGCCGTGCATCTCCGGTCTATGAAAGAGACACACATGGTTAATTCAAGCTTAATCATACTTAGGGTAGATCCATTGAAATTGATTTAACAAGTCTGGGGGTTCTAAGTATGAATGAGTCTGGATTAATTCCTCTATTATGTACTTGTCTTTGGTGAAGGGTGTTGAGCATATGGCATTTCAGGATAAAATTTAAAATCTCATCTTGTACAAACTCTTTTGTAGGTTTAGCTGTAGCCTTCTCCCATAAGTTAGTGGAGCAAAATTGCCTGTTGGCCATTGTAAGAGTTGGGCTTCCTTGTTATTGTTCTAGAACATTAGTTCCAAACCTTTTTTTGAGTTGCGACCCCCTTTTATAATAGCCAAGTAATCTGTACCCCTCCTGCCATGTTTGCATAAAAAGGCATTCTTAATGGGCTAAAGTCATCACTTCTCAGAAAGTAGAGGTTTCTCTCCCCCCCATAGGGCCTGTTTCTCATGCATATATATGCATGCTAATGTTAATACAGTGGTGCCTCGCTTAATGATTTCAATTAGTTCCGGAAAAAACATCGCTATGGGAAAACATTGCTGAGCGAAACACATTTTCCCATAGAGATGCATTGA